TGTTCTGCTGCACCGCTGCCTGGCCCCTCGGCAGCTTCTGAGAACGGGAGATACGGTGGGCCCTGCTCCCAGCCCAGGTCTCCCAGGTCACGGCTGCCCCAGAGCGCTGCTGTGTTTGCAGTGCCCTCTTCCCAGAAATTACCTGAAGAACGCCTTTATATCCCTGCTTCAGTTTACAATCTCCATGGATTGTTGATTTTTTTTTTTTGAGAGGTTTTTGCTATAGGGTGCGTGCGCTCACCAGACAGACAGAGAGAGAGAGACAGAAAGCGAGAAATCACCCCCCAGGGGGCATGGCCACGCCGCAATCCCTTCTCCTCCATTCTCCACTCGGGATCTTGGGCATGCACACACATGCACCCGGCCTGAGTTTAAGCCACTGGGTCCGGGACTCGAACAACGGTCAACTACATGGGAGTCCAGCGACATAGCCTTTACACTAACTGCTGGTCCCTCTCCATGGATTTTTCACGGCAGGTGTGGTAATACGCACACCATCCGCGTTTTCTTTCTTCTGCTCATCTAACATTTGAGCTGCTCAGTTATTTTTAATTGCTCAGATTAATTCATGGAATGAAGATGCACGCTTGTTACTCACTTCCAGGATGGCTCACGTTTTTTCACTGTAGCACGGAAGTGGCTACAGGCTTGTTTTTGTTTGGTTTATCAAACGGTGATCTTTAGACAAGTGCCTCCCCTCTGCCTCTTGCGACTCCCCTCGGGCATCTGTCAGAGTGAAGTCACCGGCTCAGAGGGATGGCCGCTTTTATGTTCCTTGATGGGGCTCGTCAGGGGACCCATCTCAGTAAGGGCCCTTCAGTATTCCAGTAAATCTCTCTGGCGGAGGATGCAAGCGGTTTCTAAGTGAGTCCGGGTGCAGGACGCATGGCCTCCTGAGCAGCCGTGTAGTTCAGCCTCGTCGTGCGTGCCCTGTCCTGACTGCTCGCTCCAAGGCCCCCCTCGATCCCTAGCGGAGCCGGCTTTTCTGTCTCAGCTCAGAGAGCCCAAGCGTCTGTCCCCTGCGCTGTTCCGCGCAGCACGCCACATGGAGGACGGCCTCTGTTCATTCCCTAGTCCCACCTCCGCTGCTTGCGAGCATCGGGCGAGGGCCCGTTCTCAGACCTGTCCTCACCCACGGCTGAGCCGTCTCACAGACCAGGCACACACAGACAGCTGCTTGTGCTTAGCAAAACCAGAGAGAGCCAGAAAGTAGACGCGATAGCTAAGACGGGGGCCCGGGCCCGAGCTGCGGCTCCTGCTGATTTGAAGGGCAGAGCTGTGGACCTGTCCGGATCTGCGCCGGTAAAGGGCACTCAGCTCCGGTATCCACCTGAGCTCCCCCTGGCCTCCTGCTGGTCGGGGACCCTGGCTTTTCCGATGCCCGTTAGAGCTTCTCTGCTTCCCCTGCTCTGCTGGGCTGCACTCGGTACTCCTGTCAGCTCCCCTGTCCTGTTAAGTAGTCCTCCAGGTGCACCTCAGGCTAGAAACATCCTTTAAAAAAATGCAGGGGCCAACAAGTGGCGTGGTGGTTAAGGGCGATGGGCATGGCTGACCGTGGTTCGAGGCCCGGACCTGGCAGCTTGCTTTCTCACTTCCCTCTCTCTTTTGCTCACTCTGTCCCACTCTGGTCAAATTTAAACAAACAAATAAGAAGTTAAAATAATTGTAAAAAAAAAAAAATTTGGAGACCAGCAGTTAGCATAATGGCTATGTAGCTGGATTCCCACGTAGTCAACTGTGGTCCAAGTCCCAGCCTCAGTGGCTTAAACTCACACCGGGTGTGTGTGCGTGCGTGCCCAAGATCCCGAGAGGAGAATGGAGGAGAAGGGATTGTGGTGTGGCCATCCCCCCTGGGGTGATTTCTCACTTTCTGTCTCTGTCTCTCTGTCTCTGCTCTCTGTCTTTCGAGCGAGCACACGCACCCTCCTTGGGTCAGCCTCCAGGAAAGCTGTCCATCTCACGCACTCTGTTTCCCATGCTCCCCACCACGCTGCAGTGCTGAGGGGGCACCCCACAAGGCGCCTGCCTCCTCTGCTTGCAGTTCCCTGCTTTGCCGTCACCTGCAGAGGCCAGGCCGGGCTCTGGCTCTCCCGCCGGCCCCACCTGCCCCGCCAACCTTAGCAGTATCTAGACACCTACATTCCCCGAGTGCGTTGCTGTGTGAGCCTCCAGCCTGGGCCCCAGGTGTGCCTGGGCCCGGAACGCTCGGCCTTCCCTCCTTGGGTGGTGTGGGGGCTCTCCCTGTGCACCACCTCGGACCACCACGTTGAGTAACGACCTTCTGTCTTCCTCCTCAACATCCGCACACTCGACTCTGGGCCGGGCATGTGCCAGCCCCACACCCCACTCACCTCGCAGTCCTGGAGTGGGAACTGGTGGCCACCGGTGGCCCCTGGGGAAATCCCACAGACCGAGTGCCAGGCTCCAGGTCACAGCTTGAACACACCTCGGGACACTCGAGCCTGCGCGCCCAGCCACCCAGACATGGTCCCTCGGGGCTTCCGTTCTGCCTGCCAGCAGCACCCAGCAGCAGGCGTTTGTGAGCGGACTCCCTGTGCCCTACCGTGGGTGCCCCTGGGGCAGGGCCTCTGTGGGCCTCGACTCTGTCCTGGGGCCTGACCTGGAGCTACAGGTCGTGGGGTGAAGGGGGCAAGCCCGGGTGGTCTCTTACGTGCTTGTGAATGTCCCGTGCGGCGTGCCCCATTTCTCTGGGAACTGCGTCTTGAAGCTGTGCCTACAGCCACCTACACGGGGCCCGTCGGCTGCCTGGCGGGCTTCAGTGCACAGCTGTTCCCGTTTCCGGCATGTGGCAGCGCTGGGCCTCGCACTGCGGAGACTGGGAGAGGAGAGAACGATGCTACCCTCTGACTGCCAGGACCAGGGGCACACGTGAGGCCTTCCGCACGAGCGGCAGAGAACGATCTGCTTCTGGGCCGCCTGTTCAGGTCCACCTGCTGCTCCCAGAGAGCCCAAGCCCTCAGGCCCACCGAGATCCTTAATGTCCTCCGAACCTTTCTTTTTACTTATTTTTTTAAAGAGTTATTTTATTTAACTTTATTTATTTATTCTAATTTGACCAGAGAGGGACAGAGTGAGAAAGAGGGAAGGAAGATGAGAAAGCAAGCCACCAGGTTCAAGACTCGAACCACATGGGAACCAGCAGTTAGCGTAATGGCTATGTCGCTGGACTCCCATGTAGTCGACCGCGGTTCGCGTCCCGGACCCGGTGGCTTAAAACTCACGCCGGCGCGTGTGCGTGTGTGCCCAAGATCCTGAGAGGAGAGTGGAGGAAAAGGGATTGCGGCGTGACCATCCCCCTTGGGGGGTGATTTCTCGCTTTCTGTCTCTGTCTCTCTCTGTCTGTCTGGCGAGTGCACGCGCCCTATAGCAAAAACCTCTGACTTTAAATAAATAAATAAATAACAGTTCTGGGCGACCAGCAGGTGACATGATGGTTAAGGCGCTGGATGCTCCCATGTGCCCAACCGGAGTTCTGGACCTGGTGGCTTCCTTTACAACTCTCTCTCTCTCCTCAAATTTAAAAATAAATGAATGAATAAATAAAATTAAATAATTCTAAAAAAAAAAAAACCCGATAACATTTCATGACATTTCTGGGCTGGCCTGTTGGTACAGCAGTGTCACACTGCTTAAACAATGCTGGGTCCACGGGGACGGCCGTGAGTGTGAGTCCCTGGTCAGCCTGGACACCCCGGGTGCATGTGCCTGTGATCCTGGCTGGCCGGGAAGGCTTGTGGGGACGGGTCATGGCACGAGGCCCTGCTGAGGGTGTTTATCTGTCTCTCATGAAAGAGTAGCTTAAAAAAAAAAAGATTTATTTTAAAAGCCTCTTTTAAGGACCAGCACCAGCAGGTGGCATGGAGGTTAAGGTGCTGGATCCCACGTGGCTGAGTGCGGTTCGAGTTCTGGACCCAGCAACTTGAAAAACATGCCAGGCACGTGTGCGTGCGTGCCCTAAGTCCTGAGAGGAGAATGGAGGAGAAGGGATTGCGGTGTGGCCATCCGCACAAGGGAATGCCACTCTCTGGTGAGTGCAGGTGTCCTATACCGAAAACCAAAAACCAAAAAAAAGGCTTTTAGAACGGAACTGATATTCCTCTGCAGAAGATGTAAAAATGGCCAGTAAGGGGCCAGGAGATGGCGTAGTGGTTGGGGTGCTGGACTCCCACATGGCCAACCGCAGTTCGGGTCCCAGACCTGGCGGCTTGCCTTTTCATTTTCCTCTCCCTGGTGAGCACACGTGCCCTATAGGAAATTTTAAAAATAATAATAAATAAAAATTAAATAAATCTTTAAAAAAACATGATCAGTAGGTAAATAAAATTAAGTAATTTTTCTGAAAAAAAGATCAGTACGTATAGATAAGATACCACCATCACGGGTCGTTAGGAAAATGAAAAGCAGATCACCTCACCCCTGCTGGGACAGCCCTGGAGGAATACGGGTGAGCGAGGACACGGAAGAGTTGGAGGACTCCTGACGTCGCTGGCGGTGTAGCCGGGGCTGGTAGCTTCTGCATTTACTCCACCACCGAGTAATCCCACTGGTCAGTAAGGACCTGAGAAAATGAAACCACACAGACACTTGGAGGAATGCTCACCACGGCATTATTCGTAATGGCCAGAGAGAGTCGGAACGACTGAAAGGTCCCTCGTAAGTGAATGGAGCCACGAGTTCCAGCGTGGCTGTGTCAGGGGGCGTTCCTCCATCCTAAGGAGGAAGGGGGTGCCCGGGTTTGCTACGACCTGGATGGATCTCGAAAGCATCACACCGAGGGAACGCAGGGAGTCGCAGTCACAGAAGGCCACACACTGTATGGCGCCGTTCACGTGAGTGGTCCGGCACAGACAAACCGACACCGGATCCATGGCTGCCCGGGGCGCGGGACAACACCGAGTGACCGCCAGTAGGTGTCTTCTGGGGCTGAATGAAAACATCCTGAAATCAGGTTAGTGATGTTGATTGTGCGACTCTGAAATACACCAGAAACCACTGTCCGAAGGGGTCTTCCAAACGCTCACGAAAGTGTGTGTTACGAAGAAACTGCCTGGATTTCCATTCTGGCTTTTATTTTGCAATGATTACACATTAATTACATTTTTCCAAAACTTTTTTTTTGAAGTACCTTTTACATGTGTTAGAAAGGGTGAATTGTGGGGACCAGCAGATGGCGTCATGGCTATGTCACTGGACTCCCATGTAGTCGACTGTGGTTTGAGTCCCGGACCCGGTGGCTTAAAACTCACGCCGGGCGCGTGTGCGTGCGTTCTCGGGATCTTGGGCACACACACGTGCCCAGCATGAGTTTTAAGCCACCGGGTCGGGGACACGAACCGCGGTCGGCTACGTGGGAGTCCAGCGACATAGCCATTACGCTAACTGCTGGTTCCCCAGAACTTTTTTTTTGAAGTACCTTTTACATGTGTTAGAAAGGGTGAGTTGTGGGAACCAGCAGTTAGCGTCATGGCTATGTCACTGGACTCCCATGTAGTCGACCGTGGTTTGAGTCCTGGACCCGGTGGCTTAAAACTCACGCCGGGTGCGTGTGCATGCATGCCTAAGATCCCGAGAGGAGAATGGAGGAGAAGGGATTGCGGCGTGACCATCCCCCCTGGGGGGTGATTTCTCGCTTTCTGTCTCTCTGTCTCTCTGTCTGTCTGGCGAGTGCACGCACCTTATAGCAAAAACCTCTCAAAAAAAAAAAAAAAGAAAGGGTGAATTATGTGGTATGTGAATTAAATCTCAATAAAGCTGTTTTAAATATCAATTTTTATCTGATTGTTTTAAAACATGTCTTAAACATTAATCTCAATCGAAAGGAACTGGTCGGGGAGGTCGGCAAGAGGGAAGAAGTTCCCAAACCAGTTAACATTTCAAGGATTGAATTAGTCATCATCTTTTCGTTTGAGCTCCAGTTTAAAAAAGGCTGCCCCTGCAAGGTCAAGGTCAGATCCCTCTGGCTATTTGCCCGGATGACCAAGATTCTCAGTGGGTTCTTTGTTCGGTAGACTTACCATCTCAAAAACGAATCTGTTTCCAGAGCCCGCCAAGCTGAGGCATGGAGATGCCCCGGGGTCAGCAAACAGACTCAGAATCACTCCATCTGCAAACCAGCAGCATGTTAGAAGGGTCTGCTCTGTGGGACTCTTGTTCTGGGGAGATTGCGTGAGGGATGGACGGGCAGGGGCAGCTCAAATGCCTTGGAGAAGTCTTGGTGCGGTGTCGGAGAACCTCTGCTCCAAGAGTCTGCACGTGGGAGCCCCTGCTCCAGAGCTCAGACTCTTCACCCGGGGTGGGAGTGAGTGACCTTCTCCCCCGCAGGGCAGGTGCTCTGGCTGGTGGCCAGGCACCTGCGGTGTAGACACTGTGCACCAGGAGAGCCAAGGAGGGGTGGATCCAGAGGGAGCTAGAGGATTGCTGGTGGACGAGATGGGATGGGGTGGGCGTGGTGGGCAGGACCGAGGGGGTGGCAGAGACAGTGGGCGGCTGGTAACTGACCAGCGTGGGCGGGAGACACCAGCCTGCGAGGCCTCCTCTGTTCTCACAGCTGACTTCCCTGGCGAGTGCACCAGGTGGGGCCACTGGAGTTAGACAGTGGGGACAACTTGCCAGCACTGCAGGGGGATGCAGGAAAAGGCCGCAGCAGCAGAGGGGTCTGACCCCCTCCGCTCTAAGCTACCCTCAGGTGCACCTCGCCTACGCGTTCGGGGTTCTTGAGTCTCTTTTCCAGGGGCTCATAATCTCACAAAGTCCCTACGGCATGAAAAGAAAGAGATCGTTTCTGTGGAGCATGAGATCAAGAAGCGATTTCACATTTTCGTAAATGCATTGTAGATTGATATTTTACCGAAGTGTGTTGTTATGGGGTTCACTATAACCAGAGAAACTTTCAGAGCTGGTAACAAAACCCTAGAAGTATCTTTGCTAGTTGTTCTAGCCAGCTTTGTGCTCATTGAGTTGTTCTTAGGGGGGCTGGAAGGTGGCGTGGTGGTTAAGGTGCTGGATTCCAACATGGCTGACCACGGTTCGAATCCTGGACCTGGCGACTTGCTTGCTTGCTTTTCCTCTCTCTCTGATGAGCACATGTGACCTATAGCAAATTAAAAAATAATAAATAGGCAATAAATACCGTGCTTCAAGTCCCGGACCCCGGGGCATGAAACTCACACCAGGCGTGTGTGCGTGCATGCCCAAAATCCCGACAAGAGAATGGAGGAGAAAGGATTGCGGTGTGGCCATCCCCCCTGAGTCTGGGTCTCACTTTCTCCCTCTCTGTCTCTCTGGCAAGTACATGCACCCTATGGCAGAAGTCGAAAGAAATTAAAAAGGGGCCAGCAGAGGGCGTGGTGGTTACATCGCGGGACTCATGGCTGACCACAGTTCGAGTCCCAGACTCAGTGACTTGAAATTCACATCAGAGGTGCACGTGCCTGTGTGGCCGAGATCCCAGAAGGAGAATGGAGGAGAAAAGAGTACAGTGTGGCCGTCCTCCCTGGGGAGCGATTTCTCACTTTCCCCTCGCTGTCTCTGTCCGTGTCCCCCCCGCAAGTGCACAAGCCCTATGGGGGGGAAAAATGTTGATTGCTTCTGATTTTCTGCCAGAATCAGACCTCTCTTCAGCCAGTGGTCTGACCGTGGTAGAAAGGAAGCAGGTAAGAGTAAAATGCAATTTAGAAATATGTCAGAGTTAAAACTCACCGTAGTGTTAAAGTGGGGAAATATTTATTACGGTCTCCTGATGTTAGGGACACGTTTGTCACGCTCTGTCACCTCTGAAATTGTATCAATGGCATCTTACATTCCTTGTTTTCCTTGTAAGAGGCTGCGTCTTTCAATCAACGACATCTTAGATCCGGTGACACACGGCCCGTTTTCCGAGTTACTGAACTGTGAAAATGCAGCCTCCGCTTGCTTTCTCGTCTGCCCTTGGATATATGGGGTTGTTGGAAAGGTCATGACGCGTTTTTTTCTGTTTTTCTATGCAAAAGTGCATCATGACGTTTCCGACAGCCCGATACAGGCTGGAACATTCCGTGCTTATCCTTAATTCAACCAGGAGCTTCCGGACCACCGCTCTGCAGAAAGTGAGCCAGTGCGATGACTTTTGTTTGTTTTTGGAGAGGTTTTTGCTATAGGGCGCGTGCGCTCACCAGAAAGACAGAGAGAGACAGAGAGACAGACAGTGAGAAATAACCCCCCAGGGGGATGGCCATGCCGCAATCCCTTCTCCTCCATTCTCCTCTCGGGATCTTGGGCACGCACGCACATGCGCCCGGCGTGAGTTTAAGCCACCGGGTCCAGGACTCGAACCACGGTTGACTACATGGGAATCCAGCGACATAGCCATTACGCCAACTGCTGGTCCAGAGATGTCTTTTTTCCTTTTCTCTATGCAGGTTTTTATCAAGAGACACCAAGCAGGTCTTCCACTCTCAGCTCTCTAACTGCAAAAGGTGAGATGGACCCTTTCTCCCCTCCCTAAGACTTCCACTCCACCTGTCCCACCGTAGGGCCTCAGTGTGACGGAGCCTGGAGCTTCTCTGGGACCGTCACTAAGTCCTTGCCAGAGTGGCTCTCGGACGTTGGTCCTCGGACAGTGTCTCTGGGGAGATAAGCGAGGGGGAGCACCCGTGGAGAATGTCCGGGTCTTCCCCTCCTGCTGGTCTGTGACCTGGCAGGGCCGCCTGGCCCTGTGCGTTCTGTCTCCCCGACTTCGCCGCAGGTGAGAACCGTGGCCCGGGTCCCCTCTCAGGGCGCTCTGCCTCTTTACAGCTGGAGGCCCTTCCCTGACATGGGCAGATCCGCCTAGCGCCT